CGGAGCGTGCTGTCCGTCAAGACGTTGGATGGTCGGGGTTGCACGCCGAACTGAAATCGACACTATCAACTCTGTGCCGGCGCGGGGGACATGAGTGATAGATGGAAACGGTCGGTGAACATGACTTGATTTATGTTGACGGGTGCCCCATAAGCCTCGGATGAGATGGTGAAGAAGAAGACAGGCCATGGACATGTGAAACGTGGCGTAGGCGAAGTGTCAGCAGAAGGATTTGGTCAGCACTTACTCTGCATTAGTCCCTTCGACTCTCACAGCTTTATAGGATCAATATCCTTGTCAAAAAAGGCTGTTTCTCTTAGTGCCATTTCGGCTAATGTGCTATTGATCCGGATCATCTGCGGAAAGCGTGGGACATTTCAGCAGAGTCCAACGATAATGGGCTATTTAATCTTATTTCTCCCTTGCTCCTCCTGTGATGCCGTAGTTGTGTCGCGACAGACACTGGGTTTACCCACTGCGCCAGGAACAAAAAGATCCAGCAGTAGCGGCCGATGCCGAATACCCCTAGTATCCAGCTATATAAGGCGCCTATCTGCTAGAGTCACCTAACGAGCCCTGAAAAGTTGTTAAATAAAACCCTAAGTCCAGATGGTAGCATTTAACCTTATCGCGGCGCGGTGGACTCTGTAGTTGTGCTCTTCTTGGTAGGTTCCGCCTAACTTAGCTTGCTGGGTAACTTCTTTCGTTGAGTTGCTGGTTGTGGCCTTTTTGGTGTCAGTGTCAGCGAGGATCCAGTCAAAGGCATTGCCTTTCTTTTTTCTTTCTGTTTATTAGTGGGTGTTAAATATAGTTCCATGGGATCCTTGCTTGTTATAGTTAGATCCTGCTATAACTCTACTGCTTCCTGCAATAACTTCGCTGGATCCTGCTGCGGCTGGAATTAAAGAAAAAACTTCGCTGGATTCTGTATTGGCTAGAGTCGTTGTCTGTGTTAGAAGCGGTTTCTATGGTTGAGGCGGTATGTATATTTTAGCAAGGTGTTTGTCAACAAGTGTTTTAACTACGCCGGGAAAATCTGTGATTACGAGCCTAAGTATCTTTTATTCCTTATTAATAGCTTTTGTTTATGCATTTATTGTTTTTTACACATAGTTTACTGCTTTTACCTTGTGTTATGCCTAATGTAGCCTCCTCTGGAGTTCCTGCATTTCTGTTTTATGCTGTGTGATATCTCCCACGTTTGCCTATAGGTTTTGTAACTTTGTTGCCACTTCCTGCTCTATGTATGCTTTAATCTGTAATAGATCAGCGCGTCTAATGGGCGCAAGGCTAGTAGCCAGTAATCTATTGACGGAACCGTGTGATTGTAATAATGAAGAGGCTAGAATCTCCTCGTGGGATAGCAAAGCCACCGTGGAAGTTGCTTTAATTACTCTTCGTCGATATTTAAGGAAACCACCTTCTAAGTAGGCGATCGCGGCGTTTTTTGCCTTGCTTTTTGCCTGGCGGGTGACACCGGTTTCGGACAAGGTAAGAGGTCGGATGGCCTTGTACGGTTTTCCGCTTGATTTGGCCTTTTCATAGGCCTCTTTGTCGCATTTGGCGCGCTCCTGGTTGGTTTCTTCTAAGTTCTGGTATTCGCGTATGATATTACGCGTGGTTCCTCGCCAAAGTAGATGGAAGGGATCTTCCGGGACGACATTAGCTTCTTGTTTGTCTGATATCGCTCTGTTGCAGGCAAACTCAAAAGAGCTCTTCAGATCTTCCGCACAGTCTTGGTCGTCAATTGCATTGTCAATTGCATTGTCAAGAGCTTGCAAGTAGTCCTTTTCTGTCCAGAAAGATCTTCCACCTTCTCAAATTGCTCCGAAGCCCTTATCTGCGGATCGGGAGATGTCCCCAACAATCTAAGGTGAGATACCTTCACTGCTGCTGAGACCGTATCGCCTTGAAAAAGAGGCGTCATGATATTGAGTCCGTATCCTAACTTATGAGTGAATGTTGCTCCATCTGAATGAGAGTGCCCGTGATGGGACGCAAATCTTCTGACGAAAAGTGTCTCGAGAATGTTGCGCTTTGTGATCGAAAGTTTGGAGAGTGAGGTCTTGAGGGAGCGACCACAGCCTGAGGAAGTTGTCGATCGATGTCCGTTACCCAGCCAAAGAATAAAGCATTGCAGCGAACAAACTTAGCCTCAATAGTATAAATGTTGGATTCATCTATTATCCCGGCGAAATCATCGTCAATCTGATCAACTCCAATAACAAAGCAAATTTCAGCGCATCCAACTACGTTACCAGCGTGATTCCGTTCAATCTTTGGTTTTTGTTTTGCCAATTCCGTTGATACGGGGGCCGATTCTCACGGTATTCGTTCATTTTTGGCTGCGGTTCGTCATTCTTGACTGCCGCTTCCAAAGGTGGTCGTGTTGGGTCCTCAAATTGTTTGGTATATTCTAGTTGGTTCGGTGTTTCAAGCAACGATAAGTTATTCAGGAATGCCATCTTGCTGAATGCTTTTATTCGGTCTGGTGTGTTAGTAGCGATGTGGCTTCAGTTTTGATAATGTTCCAGAGGGCGACGTCGCTGGACCGGGCTTTGATGGCTTGCAGGGCTAACGCAAAAGCTTCGGGATTCCTTCTCATGTGTTCCCTGGCCTTGTTGGATAGTGATAGATTATCTGCGCCGGGACTTCGAGCGTAGCGATGTGTGGCCTCCTCGTTGTACGTTGCAATCAGCTGTCGCATAGGTGCCCCAATGTCCCCTGTTCGAGGCAAAAGCGTTGGTTTCTCTGGAGTGACAGGGAGCACATTGTCCAGCTCCCAGGGGTAAGGGTACGCGCGGACAGCGTACGCCTTCAGGCGGTCGGCTGCGTCCCGGGCGTGACTATTCTGTGCCGTAGTCCATGATACGCAACCGTAGGCGCCTGTTCTCGCGGTCGCGTCGCCATGTGGCGTCTCAAAGGTGATTTCCTTCGGATCCGGCTCGTCCTTTGTCCTGATTCTCGTTTTGTCGTTGGCCTGGATACACCGGACAACCCCCTTCCCCTTGTCCATTGTCCCCCTGGGCGGCTTAACACTGCTGCTGGTGGCGGCATCGAGGAGTTGGTCCACTTCATCCTTGAGAGTTTAGTAAGAGAAAATTTCCAGCAACAGCAGACTGGATCCCATGCCTTGCTCGACGTACCTGATCAGATCACCTAAAGCACGCCACTCTTGAGGATGGTGTTTCATGGGTTTAACCTGGAAATTCATAACCTCCTGGTCTTTAAATAGAGACTGGGTAAGGCCTATAGCCTCCGCTGGGGTTTCATGGCTGTCCGTTAGCGGGTAGGGCGGTGACGTTTGTTGTAGGTGTTGTAAATTAAAGAACAATCGAAAGTGAAGAGGAAGAACTCCCTTAGCCTCTATGGAATAATTACCTCTACTTATACTACTGCCTTATCTATTACTTGCATTCACAAATCGCTGAATAACCTGTGCTGTGCATTACGTTGGTTATTGTTTAGTATTGTGTGCTCAGGAGTGAATCCATCGTGGACTACCTGTAGTGTCGCTACACCCTGCAAGTGACCCACGATAGATTCACTGCCCCAGTGAACAGCAACCTGTAAGTGATGCACAGCACAGGTTATTCAGCAATGCGTGAATACAGTAGTGGATAAGAGAACACTATGAGAAGGGATAGAAGAGGGCGAGAGGATTCTTGCTCTTCACTTTGTTGTTTTCTACTTCAATGACATCCATTGATAGCGCAGGCTGCCTATTGTCATTATTTGTTGCTTGTAACAAGCACGTAGTATAGTGCACAGATCATAATATCAACCCTGCCCTATTCTGCAGTATATTCTCATGTTAGTGTGCGGGCGGGAAGTAGCCTTTAGGTGGCCGGAATAAATTCACGTGAGTTTTGGCACTTGACCGGATTAGTTGAATTAAATAATATTTGGAGCAGCCATAAGAGGGGAGCTTATCTCTCTTGTTAGTAAATTAAGGTTTTTTTTTTTTGGTTTTTGTTGGTTTTTGTTGTCCTTCATGGACTTATCTGATGATGATACTCTGTACAAAACAGTAAATGCCGGATGTACCCTGCCGGAGAACACTGACCGACAATACCTGCGTTGTGTGGCGGCGTGTGGCGCGGCGTGTGAGTTACACTAACCGTGGCGTCAGTAGAGCTGCAGGATGACCAGTGCGGCTGCAACAACAATGAGCAGCAACAATGGACAATAAGGTTCGTGATTCACGGCATCGTTCAAGTCAAATGCTGAATTGATCACAGTCCGACCGTCAATTTGATAGCTGCCGCGAGCATCTTAGCCGGTGGCTTCATACGAATCGACCTGACTGTCATTGAATTGAATAGCTAGCATCCTAGCTAGTAGGTTCCTTTCAATTCGACCCGACCGTCATCAAATTCGATAGCTGCTGGCAGTAGCAGCTTCGTACGAATTGACCCGACCGTTCAATTCGATAGCTGCCGTGGGCATCTTAGATACCTGTTGTCTCTTGGATTCCTTCCTTTGTCTTCTAGTTCTCCCTGTGTTTGCATTCTGAGCCCTTTATTCCGCCGTCGGCCGCTGTCTCCAGGTTCCGTCACTCTTCTCAACATTTTCAAGTAACAGAGAGCATAATTCAGCCATCAAGTACGTCGTAGACCGATTCCGGCGTCGGTGGACATGCCACCGACATAGAGTCTGGGTATATCACGGTGCTATAATGATACAGGGATCTATTTGCGTGCAATCGAACAAAAAAGTAAAAGCCACACAAGAAACATGAAATGACATCTCGCCCATATTCTGACACTGTTTCCAAATCTTTGGTAATGGCATTGTATTGCCCTATATGTTACCTGGTGCAGACATCACTGAGACACACAAGTGCCTTTTTTTTTTAAAGAAAAAAGGCGGCTTTGGTAGTCCAAACTCACGTTTTGTTGGAGTCTGGCTGACCACGGTTGCAACCTCGGCGAGTTAGAAAACCCTGACGAAAAGAGTAATATAAATTTGTATTAGATACCGATTTTCGTAAAAATGTGGCGCTCGTGGTGTAATGGTAACATAGTCGATTTCCATTCGACTGCCTCGGGTTCGATTCCCGACGGGCGCAACCAATTTTTTTGCACTCATTTGGAGCCGTCTTCGATCACACCGAAAATGCTGTTCAATTGCGTCGTCAAGACAGTTTTAGGAAAGGCAGACGGGGCAGATACCCGTCGTTAACAAGGCACTTGGGCGAAACTTGTCTCCAAATTATCTTTTGCCAAGCTGCCCGCCGTTTTACACGTACGGTTTCATCGCAACGGAGAGAGAGTGTCAAGTCGCAGCGGAGCGGCTGGCTCTGAAGGTAATGCAATAGAAGGGGAGCCCATTTCCCAATATGTAATAAGATGGTCGCCGCGTCCACAAAATGACCCACGCAAAGAATCGAGAATGAAATGTTTGCTTCGTGTCGTCACATCAAGCTTCGACTCCTCCGTACATGAGCCTTTCATCTGGAGTAAAGTTTTATCGCTCGTCTGCAACGGATATGCTCGTCTGCTCCCCTGGCCTCTGAGAGCGTCGCTTGGTGTTACAGGACTGGTAAATCCTTGGCGTCCAGTCGACGAAGGCGGCCTCGGCAATACCCGCATATTCTCTACGTCGGACATGATATAATTCGCTGGCCACTTGCCTTCTCTTACCCAAAAATTGATCGGATCAAGTGGTACGTTATCGCTTGCGAGTGTGGCCAACGGTTGATCAACGGAAAAGTCTTGTCCGGACCTCGTTGTCGTCAAGCCTGTCGATGTGTTGGTTCTTGCCAGGCGTGGCGCAGTTCTTGAACGATTAGGTAATAACCTTTCTCATATGACTTGGAGAAAAAAAAAAAAGCTAAAATTGATTGGGGTTGGAGAGGCAAATGCGTATGAGTAGTACTCTGTGGTTCACGGGATCGTGGACGGCGAGTTTGCATTCCTTTTGTTGCCTGATGCTTCGTGCGACAAGAGCCGGCGTCTTGCGATGGTGAAGATGGTTGCCCTCCTTGGGCCGCGCTCTGGGCTCGAGTGAACACTACGGCGATGAAGATGCAAATGAGGAGGAGCGACGCCGTTTATTTTGTCCCAAGTTTGTCGTTGGTTTGAGGAGGTTGAGGAGGTACAATGGAAGGTTCCAGGTCAATGGTCCCGCTTGTGACTCTGTGCATTGGAAGGAATTGGATTCGCGATTTTGTCATCAGCTGAAAGGACTGCATCGGAAGAAATCTGGTTTTCGATGTTAAAGTTACTTGATGAGCAGACCAGAAAGGCTATGGACTCTTTTGTGGACAAAACACTGATGGAGAGCAAGACCCGAGAACTAGCTTGGGAGCCGGACAAGGAGTTGAGTGGCGACGGTTTTTTTTTTTGGGGGGGGGGGGGCATCGTAATGAGGAAGTTGAGCAAGTTCAAGAGCTATTCTCAATGATCCCTGTGATCAGAAACGCAAATCAACCTGGACAGGAGCCACTCTAGGTCTGAATTCTGGTGCATGAGGGTCATCGGTGCTAATTCTCGCGTGGCGGCGGTTGAAACCTGGGCAGCTAGGCATGGTCATTGTGCGCAAACTACAAGGGAAAAAGAGGGAAAGTGAAAATCAAGGCAGAGGCGCGATAGGCATATCGGAGATGACCAAGATCTTGTCTCGTGTCTTGTGAATTAAGTAAGAGTTGCAACTGTTACGATTGAAGCCGCAGAGGTTTGTAGAAAGAGGCTGTGCGTCGCTTCCGATCGAGTTCATATAGTGCACGAGCCATGCTTTGACAGGTTGACCCAGAATTTGGGGGGAAAGTTTGCACCGTAGAGGTTGACTTGATTCCGCTCAATGAATGTCAAAGAGCAAAAGGGAACCATTGATCAAATCATCGCAGACAACCACACAGCTATCCCCGACGGAAAGATGGCATACAAAGGATGGCTAATAACTAATTTTGACCATGGACGTTAGAGGGTAGTATCCGTTGATATATGAGAATCGATATGCACAGCCTTCTGAATGATGATCCCTTCGGCAACGAAAACATCGTAATTAGAAACATCGGGCGCAGCTGCCCGATAACATCGCTTTGAGCTACACGGCTCCAGATGCAAGTTGACCAAAGGGAAGCTCGACCCGCAGCGCCTGTTCATCAATATAGAAGGCAAAAAAATATGGATGTCGAGACGAGCACAATTCCATCTGCAATCACTTGTGCGCATGAAGCTTGGACAACGATTGCGTTGTAACATGTATCGCTTAGTCGGTTTAGCTAAAGTCAAACGTAGGAGTAATTTGATTTGAACTCCAGATACTCGCCGAAGTCAAGCGAGCATAATGTTTACAGAGCGCATCTAGCATGGAGTGCTGGCCACAAATGTTCATCCTCCTGTGTTTTAGGGTCACCGAATACGTCATAAATAGTATCATCTGTAGTATGTGATTATCAGAGGAAAGAGACGTGAGCTAAAGTTACGTCAAAGACTTTGGAAACTTTCCGTTCCCTTTATTCATCGCTAGTAACCCTAAGAATCATTGACGCCACCTTCTTTGATCTTCGGCCCTTATTGTGATGCACGGACAATAATGACAAGTTGATCTACTCGAACTTTGTTTTGAGGATAGTCAAGTTCTACGATTTGATCGGAAATCACTGAGCCGCTACCAAATTTTGTCACCAGAAACTGCGCAGCTAGCGGTCACTTTTCATGTTTAGTTATGACCCTTACAAAGTCTCAAATTTTCTGTTGAGAGAGTTTTTGATGTTTTGGAGAACGTGATATGATGCTCATCTGGGATTAGGAGTACAAGTGTCGCACGCCAACGATGAATCCCAATAGAGGGAGTCGCAGTGAGACTTGCTGTGTTAATTATCATGCAACCCTTCCGGCCCTGAGGGTCAACGACATAAAAACGCCGATCAGCTGTCTTGAGCTTTAGTTGTTTGGATCGTCGATAAAGCGACAGTTAAAAAGTAGCTAACTAAATGCGGCGAGACGAATGTAGTCTAGCCTACTAGTTGTGGCTGAATTGTGATGGGCCCCGATCTGAGGCGCAATATGTTCTGGAATTCAGCATTGCGGCAACTGGAGTCGCTCCACCCCGTTTACCGGATACGGTACTTCAGAGGCCGCGAGCGAGAGTAAAACTTTAAATATCCCTCCGGATCGTCATTGCCGTTATAGATGTGGGTGCGTTAGCTTTATTTCTAGAGTTTCTCTGCTATCGTCGCCGTCGGACATAATTGGGATTCTTGGCCAGCGTCGTCCAAACCCGATTCGGTTGCGGACAACGGCGTGGCAAGATCAGCTGAATTTGGCAACTTATAATAGACGCTTGTAATTTAATTGTCTTGCGCCCTGCGCACGCGTTGAGAATGCTGGTACTGCTTCTCATGCTTTCATGTCCACTGTTCAACTTGACATGGACAGATCGGACCATTGCACTTGAACAGCTACCGTGAAGATGCGTAGCTCTTTTTCTGTTGCTGCATTTGTTTGCTTCCCTGCCCTTGCATCCGGTTTCTCTAGTCATGGGCTAATAGGCTACGGAACCGACCTGTACGAGCCAGCATGCGCTTACGCATGCCAGAATTCCATTTCAACGTCACTAAACTGCACGACCGAGAGCGCAGACAGCAAGGTCTCTGGAAGATCAACCCACTCTGCAGCGCAAGATGCTCCGTCTAATAGTAGTTGGATCATCACGAATAATCCCACAGATAAATGCAGGGCCCATAATAGCTTCTACCGGGACACCCTGGCCTACTGCATACAGCAACATTGCCTCGACGAATCACGGTCGGATCTGGAACATTTCTGGCGGAAGCATGGTCCTGGCAGTGCTGGTGTGAGAACTGCCAGTTACCGACGGACTATTGCTAACTTGACAACTCAACCACCGCCACAAAGGAGTGTCAGCAGCAACAAAACACTCGACTATTTCGGATATGTACCGATAAGGATGTTGAAGCCCGAATATCGGTCACTTAAGACTTATATTGCCATCGAAGTCACTCACCAGCGCTTTGGCTTAATCGTCTTCTTGACCTGCGCTCTGCTTCCTATAGGATTGTCATTGCTACGGTTCTTGCCATGGAACCCAACGTTCGTAGCTAGACTCCGCGGATACGTCATTGATCCTCCTCTAGTTGGGTCCAAACAAGCAGATCCCGTTGGAGGATGGTTCATGGTTCCAACCCGAGGCCAAGCTCTGTTCCTAACGTATATTTGGGGCATTAACATCCTGCTCCTTTGTATAGGATATCAGTGCAATTCTGATAAAGGCACTTGCTTCTCGTCAGATCCCTTGAACCCTCGGAGTGAGCTGACATCCGTTGGAAATCGATTTGGGGTTCTAGGCCTCGCTAACTTTCCGCTTGTGATCCTATTTGCTGGACGCAATAACATGCTCCTCTGGGTGACCAACTGGTCCCGGACAACCTTCCTATTGCTACACCGCTGGGTTGCTTTCATCAGCGTGTTTGAGGCAGTTGTACACACCTTCATATTTCTGTACCTCTTCACGTCGAAACTATCGAGGGAAGCTTTGTCTGAGTTAATGGGCAAGCCTTATTGGATCTGGGGTTCTATTGCAACCATTTCGCTCTCACTTCTGATCTTAGCCTCGGTTCAACCTTTCAGACGCCGATTTTATGAGCCATTTGTGGTTATTCACATTTTGCTGACAATTTTGGTACTCATGGGATCTTACGGACACATCATCGCCCGATACGGACACGCACGTGGCCACGAGACATGGGTCTACATTGCGGTTTCTTTCTGGGTGTTTGACAGAGTCATGAGAATGGCAAGGTATACTTGCAGAGGAGTAAGATCTGCATACATCAGCAATGTGGATGAAGACTACATGAGGGTTGACATTCCCGGAGTCAATGCCCGAGGACATGTTTATTTGCACTTTCTCAGCATCAGCAAATGGCGCATTTGGGAGAGCCACCCTTTCTCCGTCGGTAGTGTCACTACCTGGTCAAATAACACCTCCCCCTCGACACATCTAGATAAAGAATCCCTCCAAGTCCAGACCATTAGTTTCTCGAACCCGTTTCAAGCATCCGCTCCCCGATGGTCGCCTCAACAGGCCAGCCGACGGAAA